TTCAGAACATAATAGTTAGAAATATGATAAATGATCGTATCAAGCTTCATTCATTGATATTTAATATATCATTATTATCGATTTGTAGAGTATCTGCCAAAGGAAAAAATGTTTAAATTTTTAAATGTAAGTTGCAATTAAAGAACAGTATTTCTTAAAATATTTGTTATGGAAAGTCATTTTCGGTAATAATGCTATTCTCAAAAATTTGATCTGCATAAAGATCCGCAGTCTATTAGTAAGTAATTAACAATGTCGATTAAATAAATATTCGCAAGTAAATTATAATAAAAATGATCACGATGTCGGGTAGAGTGTCAAATAATTCCAGCAGCGGAGCGTTATAGTTGGTTGCCAGCAATTTTATAACGGATGCCTTCCCATAGTTGATCTAATAAGGTTCGCTGGTGATGGATCGACTAGCGGACGAGACTTTATGTAACACCTCCAAACATAGTTCTCCAGTGAGGTGACTGCTAGCCGCATTTTTACCAAGTGTCGCAACCTCGTCCCGAAAGTCTCGACTCCGCGGAGACAGCTCTCTCAACCCGCATGCCCCGCGAACCATCGACGAATCTAGTTACCAGCTACGGTATTCCATAAATTGCCACGACGATCGGATCTCAACTGAGTAAGTACACGTAAGGCACAATTGTGAAATCTGATGGCCCAGTTCGTGTTTCGCGCGGTTATGTCAGGTGGTATCGGTAGAAAAAAAGGTGGAGAACGCACCTACTTACGTGTTACCACTCGCTGCTTCTCATTAAACGAACTTCTAAAGGTGGAGATGTACTAGCACGCAATTTGGAACACTTTTTTCCAGCGACTTACAGAAGTGTTTACACTGCTATTTCATATTATTTTATTCTATTCTTCTTTATTATTTATATTATTATTTTTATTATTATATTCTTCTTTATTAGTAATTATGACTGTCACAGGTGAGTTGAATTTACCGCTAGCAATCTCAGGTGCATTTTCGGAGCAAAAATCGATGGGAAGGTGTTAAAAAATGAAAATCCAAAGCAATTTTTAAAAATTTTCACTGTTACAAAAGCTGAAGAAAGTTTCAAAATAAGTACCACCTGGGTGTGCAGTTGCGAAAACAGAGTTAATCATTGGGTTATTTTTTTGCGTGCGTCACGCGATGAAGCTCGTCGTTTTGAGACGGAGAAGGAAAACGCGAGACTGAAAGCAAGGGAGCGTTAATTAGAGGTACATTTCTCGTTATGGAATACAGTAAATGGGCTCATTAGCGATGATTCTGTGAACAAAATAAACTTGTATTAGATGCCATTTAAAACCGCAGACTTGACGATTATTTACTTGCAATAATACTACAATTAAATTCTCCATTCAGAAATCTACTTCTGGAGATAGCTCCAAGAATATCCCTTCGATATTCAACAAGTGGACATTCATAGTTCATTTTATATACCAATAGATTAATATAAAATTATTTCAATTTCAGAATTTTCTCGAGAATTTAAATTCGAGATTGTGGTTATATAAACCATAAATGAAGAATCTTATTGTTATAAATCAATTTTTATACGATTTCTGTAATTAAGAATCTAGTGTTGTGTTGTATTGCATGTTATTAAGATATTATCATTACTATTATAGTTAAGTTAGATATTACAACTAAAACCCATCTAAAAGTATAGAACAGTAAAAGTGACACATTCAATTTATTATAAAAATTTCGGACAGTATATTGTAATATCTTTCTTATAATTTAATATTTTAGACAGGCGGCTTTATAACGTCAGTAATAATATAAATAATAAAAATACGTGTGCCTGCTGATCTGTCTAGTGATCGTGGCGCTAATACATCTTTCTTTAACATTCACAGTGTTTGAAAGAATGTTAACGGCGACCTATTGTGAAAAACGTTAATGATTGACGGTTGAAAAGTTTTCGCAACAGCGGATTGCGTTTTTCCTCATGTTTCGTGACACGACCCGTGTGTCGTATCCGCGAAAGCGAGCAGGGCAGATCGAGTGACGTAATCATAGATTCGCCCTTGCGTGGCAGGCACGGCGCGGTGTCTACGAGCACGGGCTGCGATTTCTGGCAGGAGAGTCGCATTCTCCCCGTGGCTCGCGTCGCATAATAAAATTCGTCGTCCTTCTCGAATTGTCTGCGAAAGAATCGGGCACGCCGGACGCGGGTGTCTGCAGTGCGTAAACCATTTACGTAACTCCAAGATACGCCGTATTTCGATGATTAACAATTTGTTTTGTGATCAGCAAAGGTGACTCTTCGTACGGGACAAATACCTTACGTAAGCCCCCAGATAAATGCGTACATGCAAGCGAGAGATTAAGCGTTCCGTTTTCTTGAATTTTTGCGCCGCTTTTCGCCGGTCGAAAATGGACCGCGGGATTCGTGACCATACACGGAGGAAATTCGAGAAAACGGAGGAAACACACGTTGTAACACGACTTCTCGACGCAAGGTCTATCTTCAAAATATCAATGACGGGATTTGAATGTAAAGGTGGCTCGCATGAATTATTTATCCATTCGCCGCGCTTATTAATTTATTCGTTTACCGAAAACGAGTTTAAACTAATAGTTTGAATCGGACTTTTGTCGTTTAGGTATTCGGTGAAAACAGACGAGAGCTAAAAATAATAAGTTTTTAGCATATCTTTACTTCGTATTGCTAATTAATTCGTGCTTGTGAATTACGTAATGTTGCATAACGAAGTTTCATCGGATGGATGCGATTTTTTATGTAGAAATGGAGAACTGAGATTACTAGGTTGATCTAAAAAATAAGAAGAGAATGAAAAATAACTTCATACAAGAATGATTTATTTTTGAATATTTGTATGTACGATTGATATAATTATAAATAGAATTTTGTGAAAAACAATATTTATGTAATTTTATCTTTAATATATATATAAAATAATGTATTAACAATGAAAACATTAGAAGATTTTAATGATATGATCAAAGTATAAATTCCAAGATAGTATTGTTATTTTTTAATTTAATAATGCATTCAATATTCAAAAGCTGTGAATTGTGATGTCAATGTAATAATATCTAACGGCAATTCATTTTTGGAAATTGCGGAAAAAAGTAAATCAATTTTAATTGTTGCAAATTTACATCGATCTGCTATTGCAAGGAACGTGGCTAGTGATATGACTAAAAGGAAAGGACGCAAAGGAATGAACTCAATTAAGGTTAGTAAGCTGCGATGACGAATTTTTACTGCAGAAAATTGAGGGTTTCTTCATTCTGGCGTGTCACGTTGGTTAGCCCTAGCTTTCATGAGTGTACGAAATGTGGGTAATGTATGAGAGCTGGATTCATTAGGCGGAATTACACTTGTAAGTTACAACCAGAGTTAAAAGGTTAGAGCATTCTTCATTCATTTTAGTTAGACAAACTGCGAAGAAAGATGACGTAATAGAAGTACCTACTGTTTGCATTAATGTTAATCGAAGTAAAAGCTAGACGTTTTTACATATGAATCATCGTATCTGACGCACTGAAATGGCTTAATTTTAAAGTAAAATCGGTATACGTCTAAAATTAAACGATCAGTTTGTTGCTTAATCGAGAGTTAATCATCGCCAACTTTCCACCAAAACGAAGGTGAAGGTGACCAGACAAAAACATCACACTACGATGTTTGTCTATCTTTTTGCAGCTAATAAAACGTGTGAAAAATTGAGATAAATATAGTAGTAATTTCAACATTGTCATACTTATCGAATAACATATTTTGTCAGAAGTAATAACTATCTGCTGCTAATTGATCAATTTATTAAATTCACAGTTGATGTTCAAAAATGATTTTATTATCAATTTAATCAGTAACAAATAAAAGGACGTCGCAATAATTTCTGAGAACGCGACAATTAACATTTGTCGTTCATATTAGTCGATTGTTGATATTTATTTAACACGTATAGAGCCACGACACCTTCTTCTAAAAAAGTTTAAGTACACGCAAACAGAGTTATGCAATTAGATAGACGGGTAACATGGCAGATTGTACGCTCGTTAATTGCAGCGTTCACTAACTCCTCTAGATACTCTTTTAGATACTGTTTCACAGTGACCAGGTGTCACCCTGGCTGCTTCATATCGGGTAATAAAATTAGTGTCATCAGCTCTAACCGACAATGAAATATTATCACGTTCAATGAATGGACCCGGCTGTGATTTAACCTGCTGTCTGATCATTTTCTTTGTCGCTGAATTCATTGTATTAATAAATCAACTGCCTCGAATAATGGGATTAAGATATTTCCTTATATATTACGTTGAATGTTAAATATTTCCGTCTAAAAGATCACGAAGTTGTTTATTTACAAAATACCTTTTTTAAAACGTTGAGTATTAAATATTGCAGAACTGTTTAAGAAAATTAAAAAATCAATGTTAATTATATGTTATATATTTCTACCTTTCGTGGTCTAAATCTTTTTTTTCATAGCTCGTAATGAAAATAGTTTCACGTTCTCATTAGACTTTTAAATGAAGTACGATAAATTAATTTACATTTACCTAATATTTAAGGTTATTATAAAGCACCGAATGAATTTTGTCCGACTTTTTTTCTTCTACTATTTTTATGTAAGGTTATAATGAAATTCAGTATACATTCATACTTATTAATCAGTTTTCTGAGCAATTGTGAGTAATTGTAAAATCAAGGATTCATATCAAATTTTAAACATTATTAAGATAATACATTTAATCTTAATATAATATCATGTTCTGAAACAAGATGTATCGTATGGTATAACAATTACCTACATGACATTTCACTTACAAGGACTGCAAACCTCTCTCAATCGCATTCTTCGATGCAATCGCATGTAATACATCGAGTGATCAAATTTTTTCTTGTCACGATAAAATCAGTGTCAACACACGCCTACTTACGTATCAGATGATTAATTTCTTTATTACTTTCTACATTGTTTTATTACAAGAGTTACGCGTTGTTGGAAAATCTGTTTTCGTACCACAATATCTACGTAGGCGGTATCTTCCGTCTGTTTAGTACTCCTCAGCGGTTTAATTCTTCTACGTTTCTTCATCAAATGTAATAAAGGCATATATTTTAAGAATTAGACACTTATTATCTGCGTACGAGTTGATGAATTACTATCTTTTTGAAATTTGAACCATTTTACTTTTCTTAAGTATCTATTAAAACGTTAAGATATAAAAATAATTAAAAAAAATTTTTTTCTAAATGAGACTTGATGTGTATGAAAATTAAATTAATTGCGCGTGAAATCAAATTATATTGTTCATATATAAAATACATTTCCTCGTATTACAACGAGTGCAACAACTATGCATGTTTATGTATAAATCAATATAACAAGTACAACCTAGAAACATAGCAGAACTTTCTACTTAATGTTAGTACATACCTTCTTCTTTCATAACAATTATAACATCATTTCCATACGCCATACTGATGGTTTCAGTCAGTATCTTTACTTTAACTTTTTAAGTAACTGAAAAGTAAATATATGGGATTTCAACATTGTAAATCATGCATGAAAAAACTACGGTAAATCGAAATTTTGAGCGATCAGTCAGACCGACTGTAGTACCTAACCATCTGCGTTTGATGAGTATCTGCGTCATCTTAAAACTCTAACTGATGCTACCTTTTTTAGCGATGGACTATTTATTTATTTAAATAAACGTGTAATTCTTCTTCATTTCGCTTTAGTTTTTCGTTAGAATATATTATAAGTGCATTTGGCTTGCATTCGGCGAGTATACATTTCATTATTTGACTTTATTGCGCGCAGAATAAGGGATTTTTTAAAACTAAATTCCATACTTAACGGGTCAAGGGTTAATGATTACTATGTACTGTGAGTTATAACAAAATAACAAAGATCAAAGAGCGCGCACAACGAAGCTCTATATCATCTCCAATAAGGTGTCATTCACCAGAAAATGTCCGTTTATAGACAACGGTGTGCAGGACGAAAACATACCGTCAACACCGTGAGTATGCGTACCACGCGGGTGTGCGTGCAAGAGTGCATCGACTGCATCACGCAAACGTAGACGGCGGGCGAATGCGTTTTGAGTGCGTCTGCGTGGACTGTCCGTGCACACCAGTTCACGCGCGGCATACACCGTAGGGAGCAGCGCACGCAGGCCTGTCTCGCTGCCGGGTAAAGCGGAATACCACGGCGTAGACCAAGTAACGTTACTGCTCATGCTCAGTAAGATTCCTAGAGCCCGGAGAGTCGAGGCTCGCCCGTGGAATAATTGATCCAATCGAAACTCGGCTCGCTCCCGCCACGTTTTGTGCACTGACGCGACACTCTTTATGTAAGCTACCCGCGTAAGATCGCGCATCTCGCTGCTTTATCCGCGAGTACACGACAATCCAACCAGTGTGCACCGTGCCGTGATCCACGGGAAAAACGAACCGCGCCTCTCCGATCGTCCGAGGAACACGGGCCCGCCTATGATCGAGATAACGACGAGTAACAACAAGTGTCCTGGTTAAACGATTCGCCCCACCTCTGTTCTCTCTCTCTCTTGGCACGCGCCAACCTGTTTACCGTAATTTTCGTGGAACTTTACGTGCAAGCTTCCCGACGTTGCTTCATTTTTATTTCAAGGCTGGCCAGGCTCCTGGTTACCCTGTGGAAGCGCGGGTAGTTTACAGCAGAAAGGACGCGCGGACGGCCGACGCCGTTCGATACCAACGACCACCGACGGAACGCGTTTCACCAGAGCCTGTTGATATTGGGGGAGGGCTATGTTACCCTTAACATGAAATCAGCTTTTATAGAGCAACCATATATAGACGTAACGTAAGCAGATTCGTCAAATGATTATCGAACCCCCATTGATCCTGAGGAAATAACGTTTTTCTTAATCCCGGAGAAAGCAATGGTCTGGATGATAAATGTATTCCTACGACAAAAATTCGATTGGATCCTATGACGTAACAAAGGAAAAATTCATTTGGAAAGGAGCATTTCAGCAAAGCCGGAGTTGGAGTCGAAGATGTCCTGTCGGAAAAGGATTTACATGGTGGCAGAATGACGCCTCGGTTAACGGTCTGTAGTGGGGGTGTGGCCCGACACCGTCGCGAACGCCTACGCAGAACGTAGAACCGTTGGGTACGGCACGAGCCGAGCGAGCGAGCGAGCAAGCAAGCGTGCCGCGCTATCACGAAATAGTTGGCGAGGTGGACGCAGCGAGGAGTCGAAGGTGTATGAACCGCCGAGTGGCGCTGCCGTCGTTCGTTGGCTCGCTACCACGGTTGCACCGACGCGACGCTGTCGCCGTCGCCACCACCATCGCGACCACTACCCCTCTCGCTGGCTGCTTGGTTTACGATTCTGACAGTGGCCCAAGCGAGCGGTGACAAGCGGACCAACAGTCGTCAGTGCGCCGTCGTGCTGTGCGTGTTGTCTGCGTATCGTTTCTCTCGAACGCTTCGACCGCGTGGCCGGCCAACTGTCAAACGTGTTCTGCGAGTCGATTTACCGTGCCAGGGAAACAAGTTACGTTACCATCGCGAGTGTCTAGAAATCCTGGTAATTATAAATCCCCTCGCGATGCAGTGAAGTCTTTCTTTTCTAAAGGGGACTTAATTCACGAAGGAAATACGGGATCGATACGTAATACAGTAGCCGGTGCGACATTGTTTATGTTTGTATATGAAAAGGTGTGGTTGTCGGAGTAAGTTAATGAAATAAAATGTGCTCTATTTCGGTGAGACCGTCCAGCGGGTTTTGCCGCGCGGTTTACCCTACGATCGACACGCGCACGTGAACCATTGGCGTCGACGCCATCGACGACGCGCCGCCGAGGGATTAGGAGGTAGGATAGCTTCGGTAGGAAGGTTCCTCGAGGAAGCGTTCACTAGAAGAAATGACCGAGTTGGCGAAGGAAGCGTTCGCCTCCCGTAACTATAGCCTCGCCGTGGAAATGTACGAGCGGAGTCTGAAGCAACAGAGCCCGAGCTTCGAGATGTTGGTCGGGTATGGGGATTCGTTGGCCAAGTGTGGTAGGATCAAGGAATCCATCGGTGTTTACTCGAGGTGTTTGGCGGTAGGCTCCGTCCCCGTGGACAGATTGAAACATCTGGCTAATGCTCTTCTGGAGGAGCTGGCTGGCGTCGCCATAACGGTCGCCAATTCCAGGAGGAAAATCGAGACGTCCTTCGCGTGTCCTTTCTGCGAGGGAACACTGTGCCAGCCGGTGACCACTAACTGCGGTCATACCTACTGTAAGGGCTGCGTGGAGCCCGGGAAGAACTGTCGCGTGTGTGGACAAAAGATCGCCGCTGTGGGTGAAACCAATGTGCTTGTGCAGAGGCTTGTGGAAAAGTGGTGGCCGCGGGAAGCGGAAGCAAGCAGGGCAAGGCACGAGGGTGACATTTTTATGAAAGAGGGACACTTGGGTCAAGCCCTCGAGAGGTACAACCTGGCAATTCATCTCGGTGAGTCAATGTTTGAGCTTCTTTCTGTATCTGAGATCTGGCCTGACCGAGGTGTCTCCGAGGCACTGGATATCTGATAAGAAATGCATATCTTTGATCGAAGAGTATTTGGTGAACATACAATTTCCAAATACTGCCTTCGAGTGTTAATAACAAACTTTGCGTATGTATCTCTGTTCTCGTGCGCGGACTTGATAATGCATTGGAAACATCTCTCGCATTATGATTGAAAATAAATCTTTTATGGAAATGAGACTGATAATCAACCTGTTAACTGTGGAATTCCGTTTTAAAGAGTTACGAAGGCATAAACATAATATGTTGAATAGTGTATTATTAAAAAAATTGTTTATGCAATGTAGGAGAATAACGATTTTCAACGGAACTTTTAACAAGATTATGCAATTCTGAATTCGTACTGAACCAAGAACAATATATAATTAAGTATTATACACGAAATGAATAAATTAATATTGAGACTTACAATGAATAAAAATATTATAAATTTTGTATAAAGAATATAAATATTTATTATACTTATTATATTATTATAAATGTTGTATCATATGACTTAAGTACTCTGCAGTTTGAGTAATTGAATTGATATTTTTATTTAATAAGCATTTTCAAACGTTGCAAATATGAGTTCGTCCGTTTTTTTGCTACAAGTTCTGCAATAAAAAATGTTTCATTATTAAGTGTGAAAAATATGTAAGTATTCATTAGTTTTGCCAATTACATTATACTACCCCGTATTACAAGCTTACATTATTATTGGAATTAAATTTAATAATTATAAGTAAAGACAATTGTTCTTTCCCGAATTAAAAGAAAAAGAATTTTATCATTTTGAAACATGAAATTGTATGCAGTAAAGTGTTAATTTCGCTATTGTCGCAAATCCCTCTTAGTCTTTTTATCACGTTAAATATAAAGTCAAATACAGACGCACGACTCATTTAACAGAAAACTCCACTCGAGCTACTAAATTCTCATCGCGGATTACAAAGTAGTTACATAAAGATCATTACGAAACGACGAATGCGGATAACGTTACGAACCGCAGAAGATCGAATTAATTTGCATGTATCGATTCCAAAGATAGAAAAATGAACCTCGGAATGAGAACAATTCAATTTTATCGATCATACAAGAAAACTTTGAAACGAATTTGCTGTGAATGAACTATGGACATGGTAACGGGAATACATTAAATCATATTAGAAGTCATATTAGAAGTTAGGAATAATATATTGATAATATTATCTCTGTTATGTAATAAGTCATATTTAATAAATAACACTAAAATAAATAATATGCACTTAATCAGTTTCATTCCACACGAGATAAAGTATAAATATATTACCCTTTTTATATTATGCAAAATTGGCTATTTTTTAAAATTTTTGTATAAAAGTTATTAATATTGGATAAATTAAAATACCGAACAGAAAACTTGATTTTTAAATTGATACAGATTAATAGTGATACGAATAAAATTGAGAAATAATAATATTCTTCCTATAATTTTCATAATTCAATACAAAAGTGTTTTAACTATAGATGTCTTATATGTGTACTCAGATTTAAAAAAATTAATACATCACACATTCGAAAATAAAATGTTCATGTTATAGAAATCACCAAACAATAATCAGTATTCTTAATTCATTACACTGATTCGCACCGTTGGACCAATCTCCAATTAATAGTCGTTTTGATTCGCATAAAAATACAGTGAAACTCAAAAGTATTTGAAATCGATATATTTATAATTGAAATGTTGTACTCGCCGGGTAGTAGATATTTTGAAATTTCCATATGTATAATGCTTGAAGCACATGCGAAAATAATGTGTATATATTTCATCGAAATCGATTAACATAGGTCTGAGATGTTCACTTCGATTAAGAAATATGTCGATGTTAAATATTTCTGTGGTTCAGTAGTAAATAGTTTGTAGAAATACAATTCAACAATATCCGTGATCTAAACGTCCATAAAAAAATTTATCTAAATTAATTTAAAAGTGGAATTCTGACGAAAGTCTGGGACTGGAGTTAAATTCCGTTTCCCGAGGTCGTAACGCACCGCGATGTCCAGGCATCCGATAATCACCGCATAGCGTCATGGATTAAAAAATAGAAACGGGCCCAGCAGACGTTTCGTCGTCTGGGAATTCGGACAAAGGAACCCGCGCTCATCGTCCAACTGCAACGAGGTCGTCAACCAGATCCCGTTCAAGCCGGAGTGATTAAAAGCCATCTCGGATAGAGGAAGAGGGAGGTACAATTCGTTGTTCTGATACAAACCACTTCGCGCGAACTATGTATTTTGAAATACAGCTATCCTCCAATTTATACGGGAGATCGGTTCCTCAGAATACCATATAAATCGAAAACAAACCAAATTGTGCATAATTTAGACAGTTACATATTTAATACTAGAACTACCGTATCAGACAAAATGACTAGTTTCGATTTTTTGTTTCGCAATTATTGATGTCTTAAAAGCATTGCATATTCGAAATGATCTTGAAAATAAATAATTTGACTTGAATGTTATAATGAATGTTTGAAGAAACAGAAAATAATTTATAGTTACGATTGTTGTGGGGATTACATATTAATCGTATTAAATGCTCTGTAGTTTTAGTGTTAATTAAATTTATTTGTTTCAACGTAAGATAAAAATAAAATACCATGAAAAATAGCTTCAGTCGTGGAATATAATTTAGCAACTTCTATTAGTCTTTCTCCATTACGAAGACGATCTAGAATCTTAATTTTGGTTTCCAAAAACGTAACTTTTTTCACTTGTTTTTTATTAGATTTCTTCAGCATGGTACAGTCTATACGGATAACAATGTTTGGTTTTAACATTCTTGCTTTCTTTTAAATTGAAAAAATCAAAAATTGAAAAAGTGTAAATGAGGGAATAGGTGTATCTCGATTTTCGTACTGTTTAGATTTCGATACTGCATCACAGAAATATTATTGGAGGTTTTAATATATATTTATGATAATTGTATATATGTACGTGAAAGGAAGGAGAGATGAATTAAGAATTCTACTATAACTTTCGTATTTATCAATACTTTTTGTGATATTTAATACGAGCTACTTACTGTTTAATATATACATTTATAAAGAAATTGATAATTGCTACGAATAATAACTTAGAAATAACTTCAATCTGTAACAAAGCCTAAACGTGTATTAACACTAGAACTACCAGATAGGTCAGAGTGATTTCTAATTTCTCCTTCCACAATTACCGAAAAGATACAAATGCTACTCAAAGATATTATTAAATAAATTGGTTTAGCAAGTCAATTCGACTGGTCGGTAGTTCTAGTGTTAATACCTGGCCAGTCGTTTACATAAGTTTGTTAAACGAGTATGTCTACGCGATCCGCCAGGCTGGTTAAGCGTTAACACATTACCTGCGGGCATTGTCGGCAGCAAACTTACGTTAACCGCGGACGTTTCTTACAAAACGCAGTAAATTGTATAGCCAACATAAAACTATCGATACTACGGAATTATATAATAATTGTATGTTTTCATTACGATCGAATAGTTTAATTAAGTTTCATTAAATAAAGATTCAATATTTATTCAATATAATGATCACGATTGACCGCGGAATCACGCACACATGACATCCACGGGTAAAATGTTAACCCTTTTGTCCCCCAAATGGTACACATAGGTACCACGAATATTTTCAATTTCCAGAAAACTAGAAAACGCCTACATAAACAAAAATTTTACTATACCAAGAATCTTTGCTTATGACTGAGCTTAAGTTCTAATCAGCTGTCAGTACATTTTAGTTGATTAGTGCGTAGCCGTAAGTTTTTTCCACAAAATTCATACTAAAAACAAACATGTTCAGGGATGAAAGGGTTAGAGTATATAAAACCTTCAACAGACAGACAAACCGCCAAATTATATATCGGATGCTCAAATAATAGAAAAAAGGAAACGATGTGCTGATCCCTGGCTATTTAACTTATTCAATCATTACAACGTAGTATCCCAAATATAAAAGTTTGCTCTTGATAAAATGTCGACATTCGTTCGCAAAGGGTTGAAGCCCGTGGAATACATACATACACCTTGGAGGAAAACGTTGTTCCAAGGACCCGGTTACGGAGGGTGAAGATAAGGCGAGGCTGTAGTCGTTGGTTAAGCGATTCTCGCGATTCCGCTGGAAAGAATAACTGAATCGATCGCATTCCTTCTCCCTCTTTGGTGCATGCCGAGTGCACGGAACGGGCTCCTCACGAGGAAAGGGAGGAGGAGGTGGCGGCGGCTGCGTTCGAACACGAAGACGACGACGTCGGTAAGTTCATGGCCAGTCTGAGGCGGTTCTTATATAATGCATCGGGAGACAGAGAGAAAGAGGCTCGGGGAGAGTGGAGAGAGAGACCAGATTGTTCGGAGCGCCAGTCCATTCGGCGAGACACAGCACATGTACCGAGAACACAAAGACTTTCTTGCCTTGTGTGGGCCACGTACGGATTCGTCACGGGAAATCTAGCGCATCGCGTACCGCGTTAAATTCAACGCGCCACGTACCGCCGCGTGCATTCTCGCGACGTGAAACTCGTCGTTTTCGCGCGCCGCGCTTTCGGTATACAGCGAGGTATGCTGCAACGAACGCGATTGGTTCCCGACCCTCGTTCGTAGCATATTTTCAAATAAATGAGCCGCTCATTGGCTAAACCGGTTAACTCCAGTTTTCGAATTTTTTAAAATTCGATCGTCCATGCGTTGGATTGATTCCGAAATTTTTTTAGTTGAAATAAATTTCACTGTTAGGTTTAGTTCTATGAAATTATAAAAATTCTTTTGGTTATGTCCAGTTATAATAATGATAAAAATTACTAGAAGCATATACTATGTACTTTATGTGTTTTACAGGCTTGTTAGATTAAGATTATACATGTAATAGTTAAGTGAAATACATTCTGTAATGTCTATTTCATTTTT